TTGGCCCAGGATCGGACATTGTTTCATTCTGCTATGCATGGGGTCACTATGAGTCGGTTCCGACTCGATGGCACCTGACAACAACAACCCCTGGACTTGCTGAATCAGCACTCGTTGGGGGTGGGGGGGCAGTGTACCTACACCATGTGCTATCAGGACACCTCCAGGTGATTCCAGTGCACACTCATGTGTGAACACGCTGGGCTTGGGTATTTGCTGAAACAGAACTTCAGGTGATTCCAAAGTTCTAGGCATCAAAGTCACCTGTGAAAGTTTAAAAAGAAAAATGGTGCCTGAGTCACATCCCTGAGAGTCTGGGTTTCTACTGCTACATGCCGTTGAGTCTATTCTGGAGGAAGCAGAAGGTCTCATCTGTCTCCCATGGAGTTGCTGGGGGATTCAAACTACTGACCCTGCAACTAGCAGCCCTCTGGGTAATGGCCATCCATTACATTTCCTGTACTTTTGATTGGAAGTTCACATATGCCATGGTTACAGTTTCAAGATAAGATGCCACCTCCATGAACTAGTACTCCCCTCTGGGCAGAAATGCAACAGAAAAGGGGAAGCTGCCAAGGGATTATGAAGTTTCTTAGACTGCAGGAGCTGCTTCTTGGATCTACGGGATCCACAACATTGATGCTTCCCTATGGCCCCGGCACAAGTCTCTGTTCCCCTCTCAGCCTCGGGAAGATCAAGGGTGTCATTAGGGGAGAGCAGCAGGGGGCACAAGGGGGGTTCATACCACATCAAGTGATCCTCCCCAAGGGACAACACCAAAATGGCCTCACAACTTTTGTGAAGTGCTTCAGCTGAAACTGATTATTTTTTACAAAAATACCCCTCTAGTTGAGTTATAAAAGTAAAATCATTTTTCATAAATGCAGCTTACATGTATCAATATATCTAAAAGGTTAGTTTACTTTTTTTTGGTTTAAGTTTTTATTGTGAATTGAGTGATAGTTTATATGGGAAAACATTGATTTTACACTCATCCTATCATATTTTGTTTCATTGCAATGATTACAATCCCCTCAATGCATCATCATTCAACAGTATTTGCTTCTATTCCATTTTTGGGGGGGTGGTGTATACAAAAACACTCAGGAATATATAATCATTCAGACAACAAAAGGGTGCATTCTGCAAGCCTGCCTCCAAGCCACCAGCACACAGCCTTTCTCTTTCCATGAATCTAGAGTCCTCAGCTGCTCCCTCTCTCCATGTCCCCATCTCTGCCTCTATCTCTGGTGTCTCTAGTTTATTTTTTTAACCTTCTAACACATTCAGAAGGAGCTCTGGTCGCATGGTGGTTATAAGTTGGGCTGCTAATCTCATGGTCAGCAGTTCGAAACTACCAGTGGTTCTGCGGGAAAAAGATGAGGCTTTCTGTGCCTGTAAAGTCTGGGAAACCCTGTGCAGGGTCACTATGGGTCGGAATCAACTCGACAGCACTTAACAACAACAACATGTTTAGCCCAGAGCTGTCCTTTTTAGGCAATTACAAAGGTGATTTTGATCACATGGCTTCGTCTGCATGCTTTGTTTTTTGTAGCTGCCAGAGCTCTGATAGCGTAGTGGTTATGTGTCGGGCTGCCATCCTCAAGGTCAGCAGTTCGAAACTACCAGCCATTCCATGGGAGAAAGATGAGGCTTTGCTCCCGTAAAGATTTACAGCCTCAAAGACCCTATGTAGGGTCCGACCATGGCATATAACAACAAATGTTTTTATAGTTGTTGATTTTGTCAAATTTGCTGGTATTTTAGCTATAATAGTGTGGTAATTAGTATTTGTGAACCTATATTAATAACTTTTTTGAAAATGAATTAGTTATTAAAGGAAAAGAAGGCTAAAACATTTGAAGGGCTTCCATTCAGTTATTATGTTGTAACTAATAATGTAATTTAATGTAGATGCTACAAAACATTTTTGTTGTTAGCATTCATGTAACCTAAGTAATATTTCATTTAAACAATTACAGCTATGTTTATACCACATAATAGTCTATGATTTAAGAGCCCTGGTGGTGGTGATATAATAATATAATGATATTATAATAAGCACTGGACTGCTAACAGCAAGTTGGCAGTTCAAACCCACCAGCTGATCCTTGGGAGAAAGATGAGGCTTTCTGATCCTGTAAGGGTTACAGTTTCCAATTACCCAGTACAGGATCACTGAGTCAGAATCGATGCAATGAGAGTGGTTTGGTTTGGGGTGTCTTAGAGTTAAAATCAATAATAAACTAAGGGCTCTTTCTGTATCGTCTGGTTCCGGAAGGGGGTCTATGAGGGTTGCAGACCGTGTCCCTCCATTACTCCATCATTAACCGGGCGCCGAGAGAAGAAAGTGAAGAACAAATACAATATCCAGAGACTAGAGAAAATAGAGAGCCATTTTATTAGTAAAAACGCATTTTCCTTCATGCTTTAAAAAAGCAGGAGGGTCACTGCCCCCGAAGAGAGGAGGCCTGTGGTTCCTGGGCCGGGAGCTGGGCTGCCCTTGGTGGGCCTAGATCTGCAGGGAGATCAGGTAAAGTTCCATGGTTGCCTTTGCGTCTTCCACTGAGCTGTGTCCCAGATGGCTGTTCTGCAGACACGGGTACGGAGTAAGGATGTGGGGTGGGGCAGACTCCTTTTCTAGGCACCCCGGATTGGGTGCTGGGGCATTATGACTCCCTGTCCTTAATAACACTGTATACAGTGTTGGGGGGCATTGTACTGGGTACTTCACATGTGGGGTCACCATGACTCCACCCCTATTATTGCCTCGCCACTACAGATGTGGAAACTGAGGTACAGACAGGCTGCCACTCTTGTCCACTCTGAGGACAGAACCCCAAGTGACTGTCAGCAGCAGCAGATGGTGTGAGCCTCCTTCTCCACTCATCAACAAGGGTGGGAGGGAAGACATTGCTGGGGGAGGGGCAGAGTAGCAGAAAAAGCCCAAATTCAAATCCCAGCTTCCCTCTTACAAGCTGTAAGGATTTGGATGGGCACATCTCCATTCCTCTGTGGGCCTCGTTTTCCTCTTCTGTAAAATGGGCCTAATCCAGGTCTGCTTTAGAGGACTGAATGAGAGAATGCCAAGTTCAGCCCTTCAAGGATTTCTTGATTCTAGGAAGGTCCTTTCCCTTCCCCTTGTGGTGTGTGGTCCACCCCTGAGGGCAGCTTGGAGCTAGAGCCAGAAGTACCATCTTATTGCCTCCAAATGGAGACAGATTCTGGAGGTAACCTGCATCCCGTGGGTGTGTTCTGGTCAGAAGTTCCACCATCCACATGATAAGGGTGGGGGCATGTGTCTAGGGACATCGACATGGGCAGGAGTTGTGGGGGTGGGACTGGGGACCCCCAGCCCATGGATGAAAGGACAGGGCCTGTGAGAGGACCCTAGGTGAGGTCCAAACCCTCCAGAACCAGACCCCAGACTGACAACTGTGCAGTGACAAAAGCTCTGAGCAAAATCAAGACTGGTCCCTGTATGCTGCAAATCCCTGCTCCCAGGACTGCCCCCCGCGGCATTCTCCTCTGGCTCTGCTCACACTCTCCCTACTCCCTGGAAGGGCTCCTGCTAATCTAGACTCAGATAACTTGTTAAAACACAGTTCCTCCCTTGCCACCCTGTCCTTGGTCCCTACCCCAGGACCTTTCCTGCCGTGGGACATTCACAGTGAGTGATGAGGATCTGGTCACCTGTCACCCTCTGACTCAACCACAGTGCTCAGTAAATAGCTGTTGGCCTGAAAGGAAGCATCGTCTCCTCTGCGCTGTTCCCCACAGTGGGAGCAGCCTACCTGAGCCCCCGACTCTGCCCACCGCCTTGTTTTTGCCCCCAGGAGGGGCTTCAACCCTCTGGTGAGATAACCGTCTCCCAGAGTTCCAGTTACCCACTGCGTAGTCCTAAATGGTTAAGATCTCAGCTGTTCAAATCCACTCAGAGGCACCGTAGAAGAAAGGCCTAGAGATCTACTTCTGAAAGCTCCAAACCAAATCACCAAACCAGTTGCCATGGAGTCGATTCTGAGTCCTGGTCCGACTTTTGTCCGAGTAGGACTGTCCCATAGTGTTTTTAGTGGCTGTGGTACCACTCTGCCTGGACACATGTGGGACACCATGAGTCAGAAGCAACTCCACAGACATTTTGTTGTTGTTGTTGTTGTTACTGGTGCTAGTCCACTGGGTAACTGATTTCATTCAAAAACAAAATCCTCTACTGGCTTCTTCCCCTCCCCTGTCTCACCCCCACCCTCCTTGTCTCAGGGTCTGCTTCTGGGGACACCCTTCTCTCAGGAGAATGGGACCACTGAGGAATACCCCTGGCAGGTGCTCCAGTCCCAGGTATCCCTGGGAGGGAGGGGCAGGTACACACCTGGATGCACCTCTTGAGGAGACGCTCGCTCAGCGCCCGGAGGGAGACGCGCTTGCAGTGGTGTAGGTTGGCCTTGTACCTCAGCAGCATGTCAGTGGACGTGTCGTAGATTTTGTATCTGCCCATGTCCTCTTTCAGCGCCTTGAAGTCATGTTTCAGATCATGACCCACCACTAGCTTGCCTTTCAGGAGCTGCAGAATCTGACTGGGAAGACAGGAAAACACACATCCTCTGCGCATCACCTGGGATTCCAGGTGGACGGCGCTGTGTGGTCAGGCACAGCCCTTCTTAACCCCTTCAGTCACTGTGTGGGGTGGGGTAAGTCACTGTCCCTCTCTGTTCTTCAAACACGTCATCATAAAATGCATTGATTGCCCCCCTTCCCTGCTCACAGTCAGTAGTTTAGGTCTGTGCCAAAGGCACCTCCCGGACCCATGAGGTGTGTCACAACACCCACAGAGCACTTACCATGCCATTTTGTCAATGAAGCCCCTAGACGACCTCACTGTGCCAGACAGATAATGCCCCTCCCCAAAGTTCTCCACACCCTAACCTCCAGAACCTGAAGCCATGTTGGGTCCAGTGCATTATACTGCAGCGCCACACCAGGACTCTGTTAGGTTGCATGGCAAAGGGAATCTAGGTTTCAGATGGATGTTGGTGTGTCAGTCCAGACTCATAGTCTCCCAACATGACAGCACAGAACTGGCCCCTGAGGGGTTCCTAGCCTGTAAATCTTTACCGTACAGAGAAGCTCATCAGGTCTTTTCTCCCATGAAGCCACTGGCCTTTCAGTTATCAGCTGAACCCTTAACCAATATGGCACCAGCAAGGTCGTTTGATCAGCTGAGACTTTCCTGGGCTCTTCAGGCCCAGTGAAACTGCAAGAGCCCTTATATGTGGGAAAGGGAGATTGGAAGGAGTGGGCATGAGAAGACTTCTACCTGCGCTACCGGCTTTGACGAGGGATGGAGGAACCATGAATCAAAGAAGGAGGGTGGGCGCTTGAAGACAGAAAAAGCAAGGAAATGAATTCTCCCTAAGAACCCTCACAAGTGCCGACACTGCTTTTAGCCCCATGGTGGACTTCTGACAACTTAAGACAACTAATGTGTGTTCTCAGTCACTATAGTCATGGTAGGAAATAAATACACCAATAAGAGAGGGCCATTTGTAATTGAAATTTACAGAGGAGAAGCCACTTGAGTGAGGGTATTGTTGAAGTTTGGTGCCATCAAGTTGGTTCCAACTTATAACAACCCTGTGTAGAGCAGAACAAAATGGCCTGGCTGGTGCTGTCTTTACAATTGTCACCATGTTTCAGCCCACTGCTGCTTCCACTGTGCCAATCCATCTCATTGAATGTCTCCCTCTTTTTTGCTGATCCTCCACTGTACCAATCATGATGTCCTTCTCTAGGATTCATCCCTCCTGATCACATGGCCAAAGTATTTAAGTCTTGCTTCTAAGGAACATTCTGGACACACTCCCAAGATCTGTGTTCATTTTCCTGGCAGTCCATGGTGGTGGTGGTTATATGCCGTGGAATTGGTTCTGACTCATAGCAACTCTGTACAGGATACGGGAGCAGGAAGCCTCATCTTTCTCCTGCAGAACAGCTAGTAGTCTCGAACTGCTCACCTTGGGGATAGCAGCCCGATTCCATAACCACTAAGCTACCAGAGTATATTCAATCTTCATCACCAGTGCTGCAATTTAAATGCATCAATTCTTCTTTGATCTTCCTTATTCACTATCCACCTTTCACATGCATATGAGGCAATTGAAAATACCATGGCTTGGGTCAGGTGCACCGTAATCCTCAAACTGACATCTTCACCTTTTTTTTAAACTGATCAAAAAAAGTGGGGGCAGGAGGGAGGAAATAAGGGGAACATTAAGAAGTAGTGAGTGTTTGTTTATAGTGATAGGAACTTTTCCATTGATTAATAATAACTGTTGCACATTCTTTAATATAATTAATATCATTAGATGGTTGGTAGTGGTTATATGCCACCGAGTTGGTTCATAGTGATGCTCTATAGGGTTTCTGAGGCTGTAAATATTTATGGGAACAGAAAACCTCATCTTTTTCCCAAGGGACAACGGGAAGATTTGAACTACTGATGTTGCAGTTAGCAAACTGACTTATAATCCACTACACTACCAGGGTTAGATAGTGTCCCTGAAAAGTGTTAAATTGCAAATGCTGTGATATATGCATGTTTTTGGTGTTTTGTTTTTGTTTTTGTTTTTTAACAAAAAGAATGAGAAGCTGATGAGGTTGTTTAGATACAGTTAAGCATCTCACAGGATACATTCTCTTGCTTTGGAGGTTTAGGTCATAAATTTGAGGGACAATCAACTTTGCTTAATATTGTTTCTCAGTACCTAAGTTTTACGTCCTAGTTGATAAGGTAGGGCCTGGATCTTAAAAACTAGCAAGCAGCTATCCAAGACAGAGTAAGTCTCCATTTACTTGGAGCAAGAGCAGATGCAGGAGAGTCAGAAACAATGTTGTGCCCTGTCTGGTGACCTCCATAAACAACTGCCTCCTTTGTCATGAGGCCAGAATACTGGATGAAGTCTGCTTACCACTAACAATCATTTTAATCAAAGTTTCTAGAGATAGATTCTCATCAAAAGGGAATAATACAGAACAGCATCTCAAATTCAATGGGAGCTTGACATTCTGAATCCATTATGGCCCAAGGGTGGGGTGTTGGGGAGAAACAAAAGGAGAGAAATAAACTAACAGAAGTAAAGAATGAGGAGGGCAGGCCTTGGAGATACCTGAGAAAGAATTCAGAAAAATGATTATAAAATGTCTCAAAACACTTTACAATGGAGTTGAGAAAAATAAGGAAGAAGTCAGGAAAGCACTAAGGAAACAATCAAACAAAATAGATACAGCAGTGGTAACAATCCAAAACCTACAGAAAGAGGTCCAAACAATCAACAACAAAATGGCAGGAATAGAAAACTCCCTAAAAGGGCAGAGGAGTAGAATAGATGAGATGGAAGGAAGAATCAGTGAGCTGGAAGACAAGTCTCTCAATACCACTAAGATAGAAGAACAAACCCAAAAAAGGGTAAAAAAAATTCAGAGGAAGGTCTAAGATTCATGTTGGACAACATGAGGAGGAATAACCTAAGAATTATTGGCATTCCAGAACAAAATGAGTCATACAAGTCCACAGAGGAAATAGTCGAAGAACTACTGGGAGAAAATTTCTCTAACATCCTCAAGGGCGAAAAGATAGACATCCAAGAAGCCCAACATAGTCCAGAAAGGGTGGACCCCAAAAGAAAATCACCAAGACATATCATAGTCAAGCTCTCCAAGCTCAAAGACAAGGAGACACTCCTGAAAGCAGCAAGAAAAAACAGAAGGGTCACATACAAAGGCAAACAAGTCAGACTAAGCTCAGACCTCTCAGCAGGAACCATGCAAACGAGAAGGCAATGGGGAGACATATATAAAACCCTGCAAGAAAAAAATTGCCAACCAAGAATCCTTTATC